GAAGTGCAACATGTTGTGTTAATACTGCAGTATGTTGTCTGAGGACAGAGAAAGATCCTAGTTTTTCTGTTGTTTGAAGCACATATTGCAGTGAATAAGACACCATCCAAGAGTTCTGTTTGGCTCTTAAAAGTGCTAACCATCACAGTAGGAAAAATGATGCATTCAGTTTTTACAAACACTATTTTCTAATATTGTTTTATTAGATTTCGAAAGATTTGCTGCTCAAAATAAAAGATACTGTTCTTCAGAAAGCTGTTGATGGCATGAAGAAAGAAGGTGTCCCCTATCTAGGTATGTACTTTTTTAAGAAAAAAATCTTAAGCAGAAAGATAACTTTCTTACTTCATCCTCTTTAAAAGCCTAAGAAAATTCACAGTGTAAATTAAAGAAGATGCTTGGATTTCTTTGGAAACTAGATTTGGACTTACATAAAGTTTTATTAAAATCCATGAATATCTTTGCATTAATAATTGTGACAATAATCATAAAATGAGGAAGAACAGAAAGGTCAACATTTGAAAATAAGTTTCAGAATTTTAACCACAACTACTTTTTCCTCTTATATTTTTAACATCTGACAAAAAGTGTGAACATTCTATCTTTAAAAGAACATAAGTGGCATCCCTTATAATAATATTATGAATAGATAAAAAAACAACTGACTTGTGCAGCTACTTAGATAGCTTTTAATACTACTTCTGTTTACAGGTGTGCTTTATGCTGGGTTAATGCTTACCCAGGATGGACCTAAAGTTCTAGAATTTAACTGCAGATTTGGTGACCCAGAATGTCAGGTGGGTGATTTGTAACCAGATATAGTTTGTTATTATGGAAGGAGAAAAGTCTGTTGCTCTTTATCATTAGTCCTAACAAACCATCTGATGAACAATAACCTAATTGCTTTGAGAATTAAAAATCTTATCCTGTTTTTTCAAGACAGACTCTCTGTTATGAACGTGGCAACAGTTATTCTACCAGATTATTTACTTGTTTCATTCCACAGAAAGTTTTAGCATGTTATATTCAAAGATGGGTATTACATAGGTAAGCTTGAGTGAAACTCGAATACTTTCATACCTTCTTTAGAATGTCCTTTTTTTTTTTTAATAAAGTGAACCTTCCTTCCTCACTCCCTGCTGACAGGTGTAGCACAAAGCCTTTTCCTTTCTTTCTTCAGAACAGCATAAAGATTTTTGGTGTCTACTTGTTCCCCTCCATCTGCAGTAGTACCTTTACCCAGATTCTTATCTTTAAGGAAAAGTATTTGTAAAGGTAGATAAATTATGTGCAGAATAAATATATGTGTGAAAATGCAGCATATGAAAATACTTACGTTATTTTTATGTCCATAGTAATCTTTTAAAATGCTTAATAAAGAACATGTGAAAAAAAGAAAAGAAAGTGTTGTTTTCCTTAATTGATTAATCTATATTTTTGTAGGTACTTCTTCCACTGCTGAAAAGTGATTTGTATGAAGTTATGCAAGCAGTCATTGATAGAAAGTTGTCTAGTTCCATGCCTGTTTGGTTCGAAGACAGTGCAGCTGTGACCGTGGTCATGGCTAGTGAAGGGTATCCAGGAACATATCCCAAAGGTTTGGAAATAACAGGTAAATAGAGTGGAAGAAGCTGCAGAAGTCTCATTCCTCTCTTGAAATATTTGCATTTTCTCATTTGCAGATAAAGCTGAATTTGTCTAATCCTGATTCTTTGAAACTTTAGAAGCTGC